GGGTCATGAAGTTTTAAGACAAAGGAAAAATTGCTGGAAGGATGGTCATTTCCAGTCTGAATGGGTTGGTCCTTGTGTCATAGACGACGTTACAGAAAGCGGCTGTGCTGTCCTGAGAGACAACACTGGGGCCAGACTTAAAAGACCTACCAAAATGCCCCACCTTGAGCCCTATATAAGAGAATCCAGTGAACAAGGCAGTCTTTATCTGTTGCCAGGTTGAGTAGTGGCAGATCAGGACTCCATCGGATTGCCTGAAATTCCAGTTGGAGCAAACCAAGCAGATATGCTGGTGGAAGATGCAGCTATTGTTATAGTTGATAATGAATTGCTGACATCAAGCAAAGATTGTGAACTATTAGAATATAGAAATGCCAAAATCTCTCCGTTGATAGAATATCATTGTACTCTTGAAAAAAAGGATTTCGGTCTCTTGGACTCTTCAAACCAAGTTCTTGAGTACTTAAGTTACTAAATACCAAAATCCATTTAAAGTGCTTGTTTAGAATGTATAGACCCTTAAATCTTCATATATTATTCATTAAAAAAGGTTGTCTAGAACAACAAAAAACAAACACCAGCCTCAGTGCAGAGTGGTCAGAGGGAGAAGGCCGCTGGGAGGTGAGCAGATGCCTACTTTACTCACTTAGGAAAGTGGAGTCAAGTTCCCATGGAAATCAGGGGAACCAACATGGGCATGGCTCTCCTAGAGATGACCAAGCTGGGTAGATGCTGTAAAGACCTTATGTGTGTTCTCTCTCTCTCTCCCTCTCTTCCCCCCCCACCCTCCCTCTCCCTCTCTCTCCCTCCCTTTTTCCCTCACTCCCTCTGTTTCTCTCTCTCCCTTCCCCCCTTCCCCTCCCCCCTCCCTCCCTCACACACACAGGCGGAGCTTGTTCCTGGCCTCCTTGAGGCCTGTCTCAAGCTCCCTCCCCCATGTACACCCTGTACCCTCCTCTGCGTGTGCCTTTTCCTGTAACTCTTCCCAGTTTCTAATGTTCCATGCAACTTGCTTACGATGATGTGTATCTTTCCTGTTGCTGGTGAGTGGGAGACCCCAGGGCAGGGCTTAAGTTGTTTTCTTCCCTGCTGTACCCGGAGTGTCTGAACCAGTGCTAGGAGCCTGAGCATGTGTCCGATGGTTGTGTACTTGCATGCGGTGCGGCATCACTGAGATCCTTGGAGGAGCAGAGACAGCGACATTTGAAATGATAGGAGTCTCAGTATTTAATTCTGATTCCGTGGTGTTCCAACAGCTACTTTGAGCTGTATCCAAAATAGGACAACTCAAAAATAGACCTTTTGTTTTTAATTGGCCCACTTTCTGACCAGATGTAAAGTTAAGTAGAGGAGCCTGGCCAATGGTTTTCCATGGAGACAGTGGCACAGTGCACGGGACTTCCTTGCCTTCACCATTTCACACTTTAATGTGTGAACGCTGAGATTTTTTTTTTTTTTTTTTTTTGAGACAGAGTCTTGCTCTGTTGCCCCAGTTAGAGTGCAGTGGTGTCATCATAGCTCACTGCAACCTCAGACTCCTGGGCTCAAGTGATCTTCCTGGCTCAGCCTCTCTACAGGCATGTGCCATCACATCCAGCTAATTTTTCTATTTTTTGTGGAGATTGCTCTCACTATGTTGCCCAGGCTGGTCTTGAACTCCTGGCCTCAAGCAATCCTCTCACCTTGGCCTCCCAAAGTGCTAGGATTATAGAAATGAGCCACCGTGCGGGGCTCTTCTCCCCACATCTTGATACTCACCAAACCCTCTCATGTGTTTCACTCTTGGGGGACCGTGGACCAGCATTGACCAACCTTTGCCTTCAGACTCAGTCACAGCCTACAGCCCCCACCCCTGCACCCTTCCCCAGAGACTCTTCAGTGGGAAAAGAAGGGGTGGGTTTTCCCATGCCCCTGAGGAAGGGCAGGGGTGTTTGGGAGCCGTGGGCACTGCAGTGAGCAGACACTTGGTGTTGACAGGGGTTCTGGGGGGTGGTTGGTGTTACAGATGTGTTCTGTGTTCTCCCCATGTTTCCCTTCCCCACTGCCTATTCCCTGCTTGAGAGAATAAAGACTTATTTTTGCATTTAAAACTGTTGGCCACAGACTCTGTCAGCCCTCTGGGGGCATCTGGGGGAGGAAGCTTGGGGTTGTTGGTCGGTCGCTTGAGACTTCAGAGAAAAAACTCGAAAATCGATTTGTGGGTGCCAAGAGTGAGGGTTGTGGGGCTGCCTCCCTGTCGGGGGAGTCTCTCAGCACCCCACGTTGGTTTATCTCAGAGAGAGGTCTGAGGGGCTATTTGCACCTTCTAACTGGGGCAGGCAGAAGTCTGGCCACACCTCCTGGAGCCGTCAGCCCACTGCACACTTAGCCGGATGTGGGCGTGTTGGTCAATCCTGCTAGCTGGGATCTGGGAATAGCAGAGCGGGGTCAGGGGTGATGGGAAAAGCACCACTTGGCTGCTCTCCTGGGTGGTGGGGGCAGTGAACAGTGGAAACGTGGGGGAGGCATTATAGAAATTGGCAGTTTGGAGAAGAGCTGATGTGTGTTTTGCTCCTGTTTTAGAACTGGTGTTGTCATCGTGAGGCTTTGTGGACTGTGCTCCCCATGCAGGACCAAGGAGGGTGCCTGCCCCCAGGCTGTTCTCAGCCTGGCTGGGTCAGAGCAAAGGCCAGGCCTTGATAGAGTGGGTAGAGATCCCACCACCTAGTGCCTGGAGCCGTGGGGGACACAGTGAGGACCAGCCACAGAGGGCTTTGCTTGAGCAGTTGCTGTTGGCACTTAGCGAGGGGACTGTGTGGCTGAGCTGTGGGGCCGGGTAGGGTGGTGGGAGCTGGCTTCTCCATCAGGGAGTTTCAGATGGTCCTGCTGGAAACAACCTCTTCCTCCCTCTGTGTGCTTCCCCCAGGGAATGACACGGGCCCACACACCCACTGTGGAGCCTGTTCTCAGGGTAGGGCTTCCTGGGAATGGCAGTGCCCCCAGAGAGGGCGGGGTGTTCCTTAGCCCCTTTCTTCCTTCCATTCACAAGATGCTTCTCTGTGCCTGCCACGTGCCCAGCACTCTACCAGATGTGCAGGGAGCAGGGAGCAAAATCAACATGCCCCTCCCCATGAGCAAGTTCTGGTAGCATCCTGTGGTCAAGTGCTCAGGACAAGTGTGTGCAGTGTGAGGGGTCGGTGTGCAGGTGGGGCTGGGGTCAGGGGATGCTTCACTGAGAATGTGACACTTGAGTTCAGACTGAAGGATAGAAGGAGGCCAGGCGCGGTGGCTCACGTCTGTCATCCCAGCACTCTGGGAGGCCGAGGTGGGAGGATCGCTTGAGGTCAGGAGTTCGAGACCAGCCTGAGCAAGAGCGAGACACCGTTTCTACTAAAAATAGAAAAAATTAGCCGGGTGTGGTGGCGCACGCCTGTAGTCCCAGCTGCTCGGGAGGCTGAAGCAGGAAGATCGCTTGAGCTCAGGAGTTTGAGTTGCATGAGCTATGATGATGCCATTGCACTCTAGTTCAGGTGACAGAGTGAGACTGTCTCAAAAAAGGATAGAAGGAGCCCTGGGTGTCTGGGGAGAGAGCTTGTGGCTGAGGGCTAGTGCTAGAGTCCTGGGAGCAGCTGCACCCGAGTGGTGCTGGATGTAGGAAGTAAGGCCGGAGAAATGTCGTGTTGCAGGGCCTTGGCTGGGACTCACAGTGGGAGCCATGGAGGGGTGGTCAGGGGCCAGTGCTGTGGGCAGCCTGGGCTTGGTGGTATGAAAAGGTCTGGATTCTGGACATCCCTGCAGGTGTAGCAGACAGGATTTGCCGATGGCTTGTTGTGGGATATAACAGAGCTAAGGAATCGGGGATGGTGTCGCCGTGCTTGGCCTGAGCAAGGTTTGGGGCCTGAAAGAACCAAATTGCTATTACGAGAGAATGTGGAGCGAAACGTTTGACGTGGTGGTGCAGTGGTGGGGCTGGGTGGGACGGTTGGCTTGTGGTGACACGTTGCTTCTGGGGTACTGCCGGCATCTTCAGGGTGCAGGGCGCTGTGTGCTTCCCACCACTGGAATGTTCTGGAGGGCTTAGCACCACCCCCACCTCTCCTCTTTAGAAACAGGCCCTGCCCTGCCTGGCTGCCCACCTGTGCCTGGGCCTTCATCAGGTGTGCAGGGCAGGCCCGCTCACGTGGAGGATATACTGTGGGTGCTGATGTCTGCCAGGGGCCTAAGCAGGCAGGGGCTGGATTAGGATGCCTCTAGTGCATTTGTCTTCCAGGACAGAGAGAGAGGCTTCTCGTGAAGCCATGGTTGGACTACAGATTCCAGGGGTAGCCAGAAATACAATTTTTGTGTGTGTATTCCTAATGCATTTTCCTAAACGTACTGAGGTCTAAAAAGGTGCTGTCTTGCCCATGAGGTCTTCACTTGCAGTTTCCTCCAGCCAGCAGGAGCAGTGTGCTTGGGAATCAGCACACCTTGAGCAGGTGTTGAGAGTTTCTGTTGTGAGTGGGTGGATGGCACCACAGGTAATGGTGTCTGCTCTCTGCAGCCTGTGCACATCTGGCGTGGTGCGGCTCCACATCAACAGCTGGCTGGAAGTGAGCTTCTGCCTGCCCCACAAGATCCATTATGCGGCTTCTAGCCTGATTCCTCCCGAGGCCATCGAGCGGAGCCTGAAGGCCATCCGGTGAGTGCCCAGCCTGCACACACATTCCCTGCTGGGGGCCCTTTCCTCTAGCTTCTGCCTGAGACTTGACCACATACTTTGCTCCAGAAATTCCCTTTTCCTCTTCCTACTACAGAAGTTGGCAAGCAGGGCTCTGCTGTTCATAGATGTTAAAACACATGGTTTTATATCCAGCTCTGACCAGAAGTGACCAATCCCAGGTTTCCCTGGGCGTTCCTGGCACCGACTGTGTGAGCTGGGCTCCCTGCCCAGGCCCTTGCCTCAGGGAACAGGGCAGCCTGGGCAAGTCTGTGGGGCTGAGCATCCTGGGGAGAAGCCGCAGGATTTTGTCTTCATGGTGTTGCTCACTGGATCTTCTGCATTTGAATCAGAACTCGTGGGATCTCAGTTAGTTTCTTAATTTAATTGATTTCCTGCAAGGAAAGAGCTGAGCCTGATCTCCAGTCCCCCACGCCCCATCAAGTGCCCTGTTTCCTTGAATATATTTTATTCTTTGTATACAGGGCCTCACTCTGTCACCCAGGCTAGGGTGCAGTGGTGTCATCATAGCTCACTGCAGCCCCAAACTGCTGGGCTCAAGTGATCTTCCTGCCTCAGCCTCCTGACTAGCTGGGACTGCAGACATGCAACACTACACCCAGCTAATTTTTCTATTTTTTGTAGAGATGAGGTCTCGCTGTGTTGCTCAGGTTGGCTGTGAACTCCTGGCCTCAAGCAATCCTTCTATCTCCCAGAGTGCTAGGATTATAGGCGGAGCCATCTCACCCTGCCCTTGAATATTTTTTAATTGGAAAAAGGTATCTGGGCATATTCCTGAAAATTTGGAAATGACAGAACGCAGAGCACTTCCAAACCCTCCTCCCACCCCCACCCCCCGTCCGTGCACCAAGTCAGATGTCTTTCCCTCCCAGTCTTCCTTGCTAAGCATATTTTTAAGTAGTTCTGTTCATCATTTGTGAAGGGGATTTGGCTTTTCCCATATTTGAGACTATTTTCGTAGGAAGCATTGATTCATTTCTTCAGTCAACAAATGTTTGCTGGGCAGTCCCAGAGGTGGAAGATGGCATCTGGTCTTCAAGCCTTCCCAGGTTTTTCTGATGTGTTTTTTTCTGAGGATGACAGTAACCCTTGCAGATGTTATGAAGGCCCCTGGGCACACCACTGCCCTTCTCTCTGATTCCTACCATGGCCTCTTCTCTCCGCAGTTCAGGGCTCCAGCTGCACCTTTGTGTTCCAAGTGCATACTGGGGGCCGGGGACCCTGACAGGTGACTGTTTTGCAGCCCTTACCACGCCTTGCTGCTGCTCAGTGATGAGAAGACCTTGCTGGGCGAGCTCCCCATTGACTGCTCCCCTGCCCTGGTGCGGGTGATCAAGACCACGTCCGCTGTGAAGAACCTACAGCAGCTAGCCCAGGATGCGGACCTGGCCTTGCTGCAGGTGTGGCCCTGGGGGCCTGGATGGGTGGGAGGGAGGGGCCCTGGGTGCATCCAGAGGATGCGGGAGGTGCTGGAGTGTCAGGAAAGCAGGCCACCCACTGCACTGCATTCCCCGGCTTCTGTCCAGCTGAGAGCTGCTGTACGACTTGCCTAGGGCAGGGCTGGTTCCTGGGGTGGCTGGAGACTCAGGCATCTGAGTCAGACCTGGGCTTGGGGCTGGCTTTGTGAGCTATTAATAGCTGTGAGACTGATTTCCTCTTCTGTCTCAAGAGGAGGTGAGGCGAGTGCTCCCAGTGCTGGAGAATGAGACTCCAGGGCTGGGGTGTGCGGCAGGAGCACGCAGGGTGGCAGGCCAGCTCACTAGGGCCTCAAGGCAGCACATGAGCCAACGTGTGGGAAGTGAGGGCAGGAAGCTCAGATGTGGGCCTGCCGCATGCAGAGCTAGGACCTGACTGTGCACGTGTGCTGGCCTGTGCTTTTTGTGCAAGATGCCACCTCCTTGCGTGCCATGTGCTTGTGGGCTGCTCTGTGCAGACGGTTGCGCTTTCTGCTCAGGTGGAGGCCCCCGCTCAGCCTTGTCCGTGGATCTGGTTGGAGCCTGGGTTGGGCGTGAGGAGAAGCACAGGGAGAAGTTGGAAGCAGAGAGGCCTGATGACGGGGTGGCCTCCAGCAACAGGCTGCAGATCTAGTCATGGGGAGCTGCCCAGGGCTGTGGGCACCATCCAGATGACAGCCTGAGGGCGGGCCAGGTGGTGCCTGTGGGTGGCCAAGACCCGCGGTCTGGTGGTGGTGTGTACCACGCGGCCGCCAGGTGGCAGCAGAGGCCTGGTGTGGAAAGCCCGAGGTTCCTGGTAAGGTCAAGGCGGTGGCCTTTTTCTGGGGCTGGCTGAGGAAGAGGAGCACAGGCGTAAGGCAGGCCCACCTGGATCCCTCTGGCTCAGCTGCCGGGCTCTGGGCTCTGTCTGGGCCTGGGAAACACATTAGGGGAGCTCATCCAACGGCCTGACTCGCAGGCCGTTTTTTCCCCAAAGCTGCCTTTTTAGATTCTTCCTTCTGAATAAGTCTTTCCCTCCTCTGTACCTCATGACCCTTTACTCGTCCTCTGTGAGAGCACTTGGCAGATTCTGTCTTTGTATTTCAGTCAGTCTCCTGCGCTGGACAGGACCTGGTCAGGACCATGTCCTGCTCACCTTCGTAGCATCCATGAGATGGAGAATTTTTTCCTTTTTAAAATTTTTTTTAATTGACTATTTATTTTCATCACAAACAGGTGCTGACAGGGAGACAGAGAATTTTAAACGCACTTGTCATCCCATGTGTACCTGCAGAGCGAGGGCATCAGTGCCCTGTGTCCCTATGAGTACTTGCACATGGTAGGCATCTGTGAGTGCTTGCAGGTCCTGTGTTAGACTCTGAAAGGAGCTGGCCACTCACTCTCTACTTAGGCCGTCTGATGGGGAGTCCTTGCTGGGTGCGGTGTCTCTCCCTTTGGTGTCAGGGTCTCCTTGGACGAGGCTTTGATGTCCCTTTGATGTCCCCTTTACTTCCCTGCCTTGGCCTTGCCTGGGGTGGAGGAAGCTGTTTGTTGTTTCCTTCCGCAACCCCCACCCTGCATCTGGTGCACATCAGCCAGGATTTGCTGCTGGTGTGGCTCTGCGGAAGCCCCCGGGGGCCCAGCCTTGGTGGGTCACTTTGCCAACTTCCGACACTGCTCTTTCCTGGAGCCGGCGTTTTGGGAAGCACTGGCCCCAGGGGCTGCTGGCCCCCTGGGGAACGTTTGCTTCTGGTGTGAATTTCACCAGATGATTTAAAATCCTTCGTGTTTATTTCAGTATGAAGAGAATCTACAAGTAAATTTTTTTTGTCATGATAAAGTTAATATGTTTTTTTCTTATAAAAATCCAAATACTGGAAGGATGATGTGCCATGCAGCTGGGTTCTGGACTGAGATAGCTGTGGGTGGGATAGAGGCGACCTTGGAGCAGCACTTGGAGGACACATGAAGAATCCGTCCGTTGTTGGAGTCCTGTGCACAGATTCACAAGGACCTAATCTGGGCTGCCGTGGGACCCTGTCAGATGAACAGGCTGGAGGGACGTCTGTTCTAGCCCAGCAAGCAGCTAACTAACGTCTGAGCCCACTGATACCCCTGTGATGTGCCCAGAGTCAGACAGTGCAGCGACGCGATGGCGTCACAGTGGCAGTGCACAGAGTGGCCTCTGGACACCCCACATCAGTTCTCTAGCAGCCTCTCACAGGGACCCGGTCCTGCCTGTGTTGACTGTCTCACAGAACCGCTGAAGTCCCAGCAGTCACGCTGTTCATTTAATGGACATTGGGCACTTTTCTATTCATTTTAGGGTAAGTTGTTTCTCAACACTCTATGGACCGACCTATCAAGGTATTAGTAAGAAAGGATCACGTTTCGAAGTAGCAGGTCCAGGTCACTTTGTATGTAGAATTTTATTATGCTTAATAAATCTGTTTGGAAGAAAAAAAATTCAAATACTATACAAACTATAGACACAAAAAGAGAAAGTTCCCACAATCCCATATCCCAGAGGTAAGCCCTGTAGATCCCTCCAAGATTTTAATTTATATATACAAACGTAGTTTTTAAGTAACAAAATCAGGACCACGCCTGTACACTACTGTTATGGGCTGAATAATGGCCCCCGCAGACATCCACATCCACATCCCTAGAACCTGTGAATGTGACCTCTTTCGAGACTTTGGAGATGGTATTAGGTTAAGGATCTTAAGATGGGAGGATTATCCTGGCAGGGCCCTTGTGAGAGGGATGCAGAGATGGGAGTGATGTGGCCACAAGCCAAGGGACACCAGTAGCTGAGAAAGAGGCAGGACGATTCTCTGCAGGAGCCTCCAGAGGGAGCACGGCACTGCCTGCTCTTTGATTCTGGCTCTGTGATACTGATGTTGGGCTTTTGGCTTCCAGAACGGTACTCTGGCTGCCTGTGGAGAGTGTCTTGGAGGGGCAGAGGTCACCAGGGAGGGCGGATGCAGGGAGAGGTGAGAGGTGGAGACTGCCAGGCTGGGTGGTGGCAGGGATAGAGAAAAGAGAGTGCGAGTCTGCTTCAGAGCAATCGTCAGTGGCGCTGGGATGAGAGACGAGGGCGGCAGTGGAACTGGGATCAGCCGTGTTGGAGTCGGTGGTGCCACCAGAGGCCTTGCTTTCTGAGATGAGGTAGATGCATCCTCAACAGCGCAGCAGGCACTGCATCAGGCAGGGAGTGACTCACCCCCAGGGAGCTCCACCTGCAGACAGGATGCAGTGGTGTTTGGGATGATGGGGAGTTGCCTGGCTGCTGGGGATTTTGCACACCTTTCCACGAAGAGCTGCGGTGCTGTGCTCTCAGACCTCGCCTCCCTCACGGAGCTGGGATGCCTGGAGGTTTCCCCTGGAAGGGATTTTGGGTGTCTTTGTCTGTGTCTCCTGATGTCTGAGGGTCCAGGAGAACAGGGAAGGGGATGTTCTTCAGGGCAGGGGGGCACGCGGATGAGTCTGGGGCTCTTGGGTGTGCAGGGGTAGCATGCCGAGTGGTCCTGGGGTCCCGGTGGGTGTGGGAGGGCTGTAGCTCTGCCAGGATATCCGGCCGAGCTCCCTGCCCAGCCGGGCTGACCCTGTCTTCCCCAGCACCCCAGACGTTTGCATGCTTGGGGGCTTGCAGCCTGGGTCTAAGGTCAGCATTCCTCAGTGGGAGCCAAGACAGCACAGGGAACAGCGATAAAAAGGCCGTTGCTCTGAGCACAAAAGGCACTGTGTGCTGTCTGTGCCCAATGCCCTCATGAGAGGTGGGGAACATGCTGGTCAGGGAAGGAGTCTCCCGGGGCCATGGCTGCAAAAACTGTGCTGTGTGAGCCTGGGGCCAACTTCTCCAGGGCAGTTGGGCCATGGCCACCAGGCTAAGCGTTACCTACAGCCTCCCTGCTTCTCCTCTGCCCACAGGTTTTCCAGCTTGCGGCTCACCTGGTGTACTGGGGCAAGGCCATCATTGTCTACCCACTGTGTGAGAACAATGTCTACATGCTGTCTCCTAATGCCGGTGTGTGTCTGTGAGTATTGCTGGCTGCTGGAGCCTGGAGCCCTGAGTGGGAAGGGTTAAGGCTGGCGGGGCCTTTAGGTGCTGGTCCCAAGTCAGCCAGGTGCCAGAGGCTGTGGAAGCCCCAGCCAGCTCTCGCTTCAGCCTAACATCTGGCCTCCAGGTCACCGTTCTAGTCTGGTCCAGTTCTGCGTGGCCCTGTGGATCAGGGCCACGTCCTCCCGCAGCTCTGCTAATCTGCCCTGAGGGTGCGCGGGTCCTTGGGTGACCTGTGCTCATTCTTTCTGCAGCCCCTCGGCCTCATAGAAGGCCTGCACGGCTCTGCTGTGCCCCCTTACTCCTGTTCTGCTCTCATGCGTGTTTCTGTGCTGAGGGCCGGTTGTGAGAACGCAGTGGGGGTTGCTGAGCTCACGCCACACCCACCTGCCCTCAGGTACTCCCCGCTGGCCGAGCAGTTCTCCCGCCAGTTCCCATCTCACGACCTGCCGTCCGTCCTCGCCAAGTTCTCCTTGCCTGTCTCCTTATCAGAATTCAGGAACCCCCTGGCACCCCCTGTGCAGGAGGTGAGTAACAAGCTCAGGGAGCCTGGTGAGGCAGATGGGGCTCTTCCCACCTGGCTGTGGGTCCTGACCTGAGAGCCCTCAGTCCTGCTGCCCCCTTCATCTTGGTTTTTGGAGACTCGTGCAGATGCTACACATCCTGCCCAGGGCACCCCAAAAGCCCAAAAGCTACCAGGGCCACCTGTGGACACTTGGGCAGTCGTTTTCTCCCTGTAGAGCCCACCCTGGTTGTGGCGGGTGGTTCTCAGGGTTAGGCTTGGCGAGTGCTGGCCTTTCCTGGGCCAGCAGAGCTGCGTTGTGCCCGTTCTGGGCCTGGGGATTTCCCACAGATGGAGGAGATGCAGAGGCACCTTTGTTCTCACTGGGCCTGGGCCTGGCCCTGGCCCCCGAAGAGGGTTTTGCTTCTGCTCTCTCTCCCTGCCATGGTTCAGGGGCCAGCAGGGTCTGTGGGTGTGAATCCTGGGGCCACTGGCCTCTAGACTGTCCTCATCCAAGAGGACCTGGAGAGGAGCAGCCTGGGATGGTGCTGCCTAGTGGGCCTGAGTCAGGGTAGGGGACAGGCAGGTAGGGGGCTAGGTGTGGCAAGAGGAGGTGTGTGGGAGGAACTCCTGTGTCTACGTCTGTGGTATGGTCTGTGGCTTCCCCCGTGGGCAGTAGGGTATCACTTTTCACAGCCTCATGCCAAGGTGTCACAGAGCCAAGGAGGATTTGCCCCTCCCGTCTGCTGAGCTCCCAGAGCTCTGGGCAGGGACCCAGGGCAGGGCAATAGGACAGGTATTGAAGACACCTCAGTGCTCTGTCTCCGGAAGTGAAGTATTTGTTTTAATAAGTGCCAGATCTATTAGGCAAAACTGGTCCTTAAAATCAAACCCTTTTTTTCCTTTCTCAAATTGTGAATGAGAATAAGATCCTGGTTTCTCAGCTCCTTTAGATGCCGAGCGTGACAGAGCCTTGAATGCAGTCTTTCATGGAGCCTTTGGTTTCCAGGAACTGTGCCAGGTTGTGCCAGCTGAATAAAAGACACACTTTGCATCTGTACCTCCCTCCCTTCCTCCTGGGGCAGTGCTCAGGGAGGGACTGCCGGTGCCCCCATCCCAGCAGAAACTTCCCAGGAGACTAGATAATGGGGTGGATTTTCCAGGCCATGACTGAGCAGCTGCCCCAGGCCTTGTCAGGGGCCCAGATGGAGCCAGATTCAGTTCTGCCCAGGCTGAGGGACGGGCTCTCCAGTGCCATGATGCCCCTTTGTTTTATTTCTTACTTTCATGTTAAGTCTGGATATTTTACAATCCTTTAGAATTTTATTGGTGTTTGAGCACATCATAGGTGCCTGTGGTGTGTCTTCCATTCCCCTGGAGGTGGCCCTGCCCAAGCAGCTCCTTGTGGACCCCTCCCACAGGAGAGCAGACAGATGTGTACGTCTGAGGACGTCGATGCTCTCTGTGCACTCTTTGCAGCCCCATGTCTGTGTCTGGGAGGTGCTTTCTCGCATGTGCTGGGCTCTGCCCTGCACTGCTCTTCGTCGGGTGCTAGTCCTTCCTGCCCACCCTCAGGCACATGGAGGGTCCCTGTCCCCAGCTTCCTTCTGGAACCACCGATGTGCCCAGGGTGCATTCTCAGGTAGATCCAAGGAGAAGACGTTTTGCTCTCAGGACATCTGTCCACAGCCTCTTTCTGAACAATGTCTGGCTTGCCCAGTAGAGGAGCAGCTGCCAGGCCTCTGTGGGCTGCGGCGAGGGAGGCAGAGTGGGGGCAGGTCCAGCAGCACAACATGGGGGGGTTGGCTCAGAGAAGGGGGTGCAGGGTTCTCCACATGGCGGGTCTTGCTCCTCAGCCAGACACTGGGGCAGCCCAGGTGTGCACTGTGATCCGGGTGCTCTCCTGGCCCCACTCCCTTCCCTGTAGGGGGAGTTGGCCTGGTAGAGCTGGCCAGCAGCTGAGGCTCCTTTCTTTTTTTTTTTTTGAGACAGAGTCTCATTCTGTTGCCTGGGCTAGCGTGCCGTGGCGTCATCCTAGCTCACGGCAACCTCAAACTCCTGGGCTCAAGCGATCCTCCTGCCTCAGCCTCCCGAGTAGCTGGGACTACAGGCATATGCCAGCATGCCCGGCTCGCTGGGGTCTCGCTCTTGCTCAGGCTGGTCGCAAACTGCTGAGCTCAAACGATCCACCCGCCTCAGCCTCCCAGAGTGCTAGGATTACAGGTGTGAGCCACTGCGCCCGGCCGTGGGGCTCCTTTCTGAGGCAAGGACCTCCTGCCCAGGAGCTGGCACCAGGGAGCATGCTGGGCTGTGTCTGGGCTGTGGCTCCCTGATCCCCCAGGAAGGGATTGGGGCCTGGGGGGACCAGCCTCACCTGATGTCTCCCGTAGACCCAGCTCATCCAGATGGTGGTGTGGATGCTGCAGCACCGGCTCCTCATCCAGCTGCACACCTACGTCTGCCTGATGGCCTCACCCAGCGAGGAGGAGCCCCGCCTGCGAGAGGATGACGTCCCCTTCACTGCCCGGGTCGGTGGCCGCAGCCTCAGCACGCCCAACGCCCTCAGCTTTGGCTCCCCAAGTAGGCACCCAGGGCATTTATCTGGTAGTGGCGGGAGACAGTTGGGGGTGGCAGCCAGGAGGCCCCACATGAGTGCTGCTGGGAGTGAGGGGCCTTCACACGGCTGTTCACACACACGTGCACACCTGCCCGTCCTGTCCCCTGAGGAGACCCCTCCCCTCCGTCTCCCTACACCACCATGACTGTGAGGAGGAGGCTCTGCCTCTGGGCTTTTCAGCAGGAGCAGCCTCCAGCCCACCAGGTAACTGCTGGAGTCTCCCACCCCAGCCTGGGATCAGAGCAGGATTTCACACCATCACCAGGACAGTTGAAACCTCTGTGCCTGAGGGCCCACGAGGAGACAGTGACTGTCACAGTCGCTTCTTGGAAGAGCTATTGTGGCCACTCTGCCTCCAAAGGCAGCCATTGCCAAGTCTCCGATCCCCAGGCTTGGGCAAGGAAAGAGGCTGGACGGCTTTGAAAGTCCTTCTCCAGCTGGGAACCAGCCTCAGGCTTCACGTGAGGACCCTGCCTGCCTGGGGCACGTGTCCTCCATGTGGGGTGAGGGCAGCATGCCCAGGCCTGCCTTGGGGTGTGGGGTACGTATCACGCCTCTGTTCAGGGCTCTCAAGGCTGCTTCCGTGGGGGAGGCTCCTTGTCCAGGTCAGCCACACGAGAGGGTTGTCACACCCACGGTATGGGGTGGCAGCGAGTGCCTAGTGGGACAGATGGTACAGCTGGGGCACCAGGAGGGGCATTGTGGGAGTTGGGGGTGTCCCTGGGGGTCTGGTTGCTGGTCTGCCCTTGCTGCTCCCCCTTGGCATCCTGGAATTCCACCTGGGTGCTGCTGCCACCCTGACCCACACCCACCCACAGCCAGCAGTGACGACATGACCCTCACTAGCCCCAGCATGGACAACTCCAGTGCGGAGCTGCTCCCCAGCGGGGACTCACCGCTGAACAAGAGGATGACAGAGAACTTGCTGGCCAGCCTGTCGGAGAATGAGCGGGCGGCCATCCTCAGCGTGCCTGCGGCCCAGAACCCGGAGGACCTCCGAATGTTTGCAAGGTGGGGCCAACTGCAGGGTCGGGATAGAAAGTGGATAGGGACATACCCAGCATGGTCACAAATTTAAACCCACTGGCAGCAAATGGTGCTCCCTGGTCAAGGTGGTATCTCCAGCATTCAGGTGTCTCTACCTGGTACCTATGCGCAGGGGCAGGTGCCACCACCCTGGCTTGGGGAATGCAGTTGGCCTGGGGCCCATCTCTCAGAGTCTCCCAGTACTTCTTAGATGTGTCTTGTAACTTGTTGAGAGGCAGCAGCAAGTTCTTACCACAGGGGACTTGGTAGTGATTTTCCCAGGACTCTCAGCCTGGGTGGGTCTAGGATCCCCCACATCATAGGTGATGGGGCTGGATGATCTCTGTCACCCTCATCCTGATGTGGGGGGCACTATAGGTGCATGATTTTCCAGGAGGGGTCAGGTTAACAGGGTCTGAATGCCCAGTGAAGAGTCATACTCCAGGCCCTTGAGAGACCATCTGCGACTCTTCTAAGCAGCTGGTCCAGGCCTCGCCTGCATCCTGGCTGCTCTGTGCCAGCCTCTGCTGCAGAAACCCTTCAGAGCAGCGACCCCGGGCCCAGAGCCATGTGGGCCCAGAGCCATGCAGCAGCACGAAAGGGAAGCCACTGGAAGATCCCTGCCCACGTCAGGATGTAGGCTTGCGCAGCCCCAGGTTTGAAGAGCTGTGCATCTTCCGGCCCGCTTCAGGTCCACCTGCTGATTTTCTGCCCTTGTTGGTGGGGGCCGTCTCCTGGCTGCCATACCCAGCTCTCCTCAGGCCTCCGGGCAGCGCAGGGCTGATCCCCACCAGGGGCTGTTAGGCAGAGGCCTTTGGGGCCCAGCCTCAGGCTGCGCTCAGGCCAGGCCCTCCCCTCCAGGCTCCTTCACTACTTCCGCGGCCGCCACCACCTGGAGGAGATCATGTACAACGAGAACACGCGGCGCTCCCAGCTGCTCATGCTCTTTGACAAGTTCCGCAGTGTGCTGGTGGTGACCACCCACGAGGACCCCGTCATCGCTGTCTTCCAGGCACTACTCACGTGAGCCCAGGCAGAGGACAGAGAGGCTGCTGGGGTGTGAGGGTGGGCACCAGCCTCTCCTTACCCTAGGGCCCCCTCCCTGCCATGTAGGAGCCCTCTAGCCGCGGCGTTGGCTAGGTGGCCAGCCCAGGTCTGACTGAAGGCCTCAGAACCCTGCTGTCCTTGCTGCAGGCATTTGGGTCTGGTTCCGCAGCAGCCGCACTCTCTTCACCTAGTCCTAGCAGCAGCCCTTAGTGGCACCGAGCTGTAGGGAGCCTTCCAGGACTCCAGTCTGGGTGGGGCCTGCGTCCCAGACAAGTGTGGGCTGCGCCTTTCTGAGACCCCTCTCCCAACCCTGGCCCCACAGGGAATGTGCAGAAACGCTGGCTTGGCCCATCCCTGCCCCTCTGAGGGCTGTTCACGTGTGAGCTCTTGGGTGGCACCCCCTTGCCCATCACCAACTCTGTCCACCACACGCTTCCAGGCTTGCCATGAGCCTTTCTTGGCCCAGCCCTCACTGTGGTCCCACGTAAGCCACCAGCAGGCTCACAGCCACGCTGTCACCCGTCCTGACCATCCAGCACACAAGGGCCTGGGCTGGAGCAGCCCTGTCACCCATGCACACCTGTGGCTGGTAGAAGTGTGATCCACTGTGCAGGAGGCCACCCTTGGGAGTGTCTGCTCGCTTGCTGATGGCTCTTCCCTGGTACCCACCTGGGCCTTGCACCGCACATGCACACATACACGCACACTACTCTCTCTACCTCCCACCCCCTGCTGCCACCCCTGGAGGAAGAGTGGGCCCCAGATAACACTGACCACTGGCTGAGACACAACTGTTTTCTAGAAATAAAGCATTTATTTGGTTTGTAAACAGTTAAAAAGCCTTATCTGAGCAGGCCCTTTGCTTAGGCCTGTGCCTCCTGCTCAGCCACTCTGTCCACCACACTGACCCAAGGGCTGCCCCGGAGGTAGAAGCGCAGGGGCTTCTGGGCCCACTCCCCTGAATAGCCAACGCCCACCCGGGCTGTTGCCACCACAGCTGGCTCACTGGGCCCTGGGGGGCCATGCTCCAGCCAGATGGCCTCGTCTTGGGCCAGGTCTCTCTGGTCAAAGCTCTTGTCGATGGCCAGGGCCTGGCACAGCTTGGAGGGACCACTGCAGAGCTCACGGTCCTTGAGGGCACGGCAGGTGGTCCCTTTCCGGAGGGTGGTGCGAAGCTGCCGCATGGTCTCTAGGCCCCCCAGGGGCTCCAGCGCGCGCAGCAGGACGCAAGCCCCGTCCCCTATGGGGCAGACAGATGAGCTGAGAAGCAGAGCCTCCCTGGGCACACCCAGTGCTGCAGAGGTGGTGCAGCTGCCTTCCCACATGGGACAGGGACCCTGTTCTGCACACACTGTGCTCACTGCCCTCTGGGTCTGAGCTGGTGGGAGGGGTCTGCATCTTACTGTGTCTGGACCCCTCTGCCTGCCTGCACCACGAGGCAGCTGTTCCTTCTGTGGGCACCTCTGGTTGCCACCACCAGGCAGAGCCTCCACCTCCACCCACTGGGCAGCCCCCATGTGGCTGCTCCCATGAAGCCAGAACTAGCCAGGGCGACCCTGGGGAGTGTTTAACATCAATCAGCCCCTTCTCCCTGGCTTCCCCTGGTCTTGTGATTGGCAGCAGCTATGAGGCCAGCAAAAGAAGTCCCTGGAGCCAGTCCTCCCCTGAGGAGGGGGCAGTCACTGTCAGGAAGCAGGAAGCCTTGCGCCCAGCCCTGATCCCTAGGCAGGCCCCAGGGATCCTCATCTGCCTCACCCACTCAGCATCCGTGCTGGGCAAGCCAGGAGCTTGGCCTGGAGCAGCCACCAGTGTGCACAGGAGGCCAGGAGAGCCCACCCACACTGACTGCAACACCCTCCGAAGGCAGGGAAGGGGGTGCCCCCCAGCACAGCCCCCTCCCTCACCAGTACAGGCCACTCCAGAGGCTCACTCAAGAGGACACAGGTGTCCAGATTCCCTCTGCTCTGCATGTCTGGTAAGGTCCCTCGGATTCCTAGCTGGGGATAATGTTGATGTGGACCCTAATCAGAGGAGCCCTGACCCTCCAGTGAGGCACCTGCTGAAACTCACCTGTGCATCCCTGGCCTGCCCAGCTACTGGGAGTCACAGGCTCAGCTGGAGGGTGGCCAACCCAGTCCCCACTCTGGGGCCTCCGTCACATGGGCCTCCGCATCAGCACTGGGGGCCAGCCCTGAGTGGACGAGGCCTTGCCCTTTGGCACAGCCAGCAGCTCAGCAAGCGCAGGGTTCTTGTGAGCAGACACCCCTTAACCAGCCAGTGTTCAAAGTATTGCAAGATACAATCAAGGCCCAGCAAAGCCTTGAAGTTACAGTCCCTCTGTGATTCCCACGTTGCTCCCAGCTCACCAGGTGGAGCTTCCTCTGTGCCCACCCTGAGCCACCTCAGCAGAAAGGGGCAGGACCCCGTAAGTCCCTGTGGGTGCAGGACACCTGTCCCCCACTGTCTCCCTGAGCCCTCTTCCTGCCAGACTTTCACATCCTCAGCCCTATTCCTCCACCCACCCTGACCCCACTCTTGGCACCCTCATCCTCATCTTGGACCAGCTGCCTTCACCCCAAGGGCAGGTGGCAGCTATGTCCTGGCCTTCCTTCACCTCCACTCCATCTGGATGACCCTGTCTGCACTCGGGGGGTCCTGCCCTCTAGACCTGGACTTTCCTGGGGCATCTTGTTCACACATTCAGAAATTACAGACCATACTCCTGCCTCTGTCCTGTCCACCATTCCCCAGGATCCTGGGCTCCTCCCCTCCTCATGGGCCACGGCACTGGGCATTCCTGTGTTCAGTCTCCCTCCCTGAGGTCAGTCCTACCTCACACTAGAGGCTGGTTCCGCTGCAAACACAAAGCCCCACAACCAAACTCTCCAGGATACTCAGGGCTCTCCAGGAGGGGCCCCACCATCTTCAGACGTCCACTTAGTCTCACTCAACACCTGCTTTGTGCCAGGCCAGGGCCAGTCCTGGGGTCCACAAATCCTTCACCCCCATGGCTCTTGCACTGGACACCCCCGGCTGCCTGCAGGCAGTGACAGTTCACACATCACTGTACTCATTCAACAAGTGTATGACCCACAACTTGACAGACCCAAAGCTGCTCACTGGCCTCTCCAAGGATTGCTCATCTTGGGGCGGGTGGGGAAGGCTCAGCAGACATGCCGGGTCTGGCCAGCCAGCATGGGCCAGACAGACCCTGCTTCTGGTCTGCAGTGGCTCTGGCCCTGCCTGACCTCTTCCTCCTGAGATAGACCACGAGGGACATAGGGTCACATGTTCACCAAGGACAGAGCCTACTACCGCAGAGCTGGACCCGCAGGGGCGAGTGGGTTCTACCATGAGTTCAAGACCCCCATCTCTCCACTACTGACATTTGGGTCCACATGATGCTCTGTGGTGGGAGCTATCCTTTGCATTATACGGTGCTGAGCAGCATCTCTGGCCTCCACCCACTAGATGCCACTAGCACCTCTCAGCTGTGATGACCAAAAATGTCTCCAGTCATTGCCCAATGTCCCCTGGGGGGGCAGAGTCTTCCCTGGTTGAGAACAACTGACCCAGACCCCATAATGGGCCACCTGGCAAGGCTCCTACCTGAGCCCAGCTCACCCAAAATTGATCTCACCCATTTCCCCATGGCCAGCCCCTGCTGAATCTACCCCAGTGCCATCTTTGACACTAACTCCAGGTTCTGGGAACAGCAGTGGCCTCCTGGAACTTGTCTGCTCTGCGTTCGGGGCTACCCCTTGGCCTCTTTCCTGTGGAGGCTCCCAGCCCCTCTAACCAGTCTTGCTCCAGTGAGGCAGCCAGAGCTCCCAAACCCTGCTCTGGCAATGGCACCTCCCTGTTCCAATACCCACACCATCCAGTCCCCCTGGGGGTCCCCTGGCTGCTAGCTGAGAGGGCTCTGCCAGCCCTCCTGCTCCCCCAAGCCATGGGGCCCCAGCACTGCTCACCTCGGCTGGAGACGTTCATGCAGAAGTACATTCCATAGATGATGTACACATACAGGGTCCCCGGCTTCATGAACATGCCTCGGTTGCGGGGGGTCTGCCGGCCACCCCTTGAGTGGGCAGCTTCATCTTCTGGCCCCAAGTATGCCTCAGTCTCCACAACACGGCCTCGGAGCTCTGTGCCATTGGCGAGTCGCCGGACTAGGACCTGTGGGCAGTGAGTTTGTGCACAGGGCAGGAAGGGACGGGTCCACTCACCCTGACCATCCCCAGCCTGGACCTCATCTCCCAGCTGAGGATGTGCCAGGTGCCCAGGTCCAGCCAGGGCCTCGCCCCCGCCGCCTCCATCATCCTGCCTCTTGCTCCTGCTCAGAGCCTGGATGCTGCTGTTCCAGCCACCAGATATCTCCTCCAGCCTTGCCGGACCACCAGACTGCAGGCCTTGCTCCAGAGTCCTGACCACAGGTTGCAGCCACCTCAAGCTCCAGCTGGGGCTGGGCTGGAAACCAGCACTTGCGGATTCACCATGCAGGTCAACTTTCAAAAGTCCTCTCAGTGGGACCCTCCAATCCCCTACTTCCTCCTTTCCCAAAGAGGCCTCTTCAGAGACCCATAAACACTTGGCATGAGACCAGGTGGCATGAAAGGCACAGGGCCCCAAATGTGTCCCCACACAGCCTCCTGGGACGTTCCAGAGCCTGTAGAGTGCCCCCAACCTGGGCTACAGAGACAGCAACAAAACACCCGCACACCCAGATCCCACCCGCCGGCTCTAAAGCCTTTCTGAGTAGCAGGACCAGCTGCCTCACAGTGCCCCAGCCTGGACCATGGTGCTGGGAATGGCCAGCAGCTGTGCTCCAGTGCCCGGAGCGCCAGGCCTCTACAGGTTCACAGCGGAGCTTTGGGGATCAGACACATCCCTAGTACCTGTTTCGTCTTTAGGCCAGAGGGGTCACTGGGATGCCAGGCCACTTTGCCTCAGCCCAGGAAGCCCTGTGGTGCCTGAGCCCATGGTCAGTACTATAAGACGGGAGGAAGAGCACTGGCACTAAGATGCTCATGGGGAAGCATTTGGGAGGCCTTCTAGGAGACAGGGTGTGGAAAAGAAGAGGCCAATCCCTGTGCTGCAAGCCCAGGAATCCCTTAGGCATCCAAAGTCATGAGTACAGAGGCGAACAGGCTGGGCTTGGCAGACCATCTCCAGGGGAAGAAAGGACCGGAGCTCAGAGGTAATGTTCCTCCAGGGGCTCTACCTTGCATGCTCCCACATGGGGCACACTGGGGGGCCCAGCTACCCTTCTGCAGAGGAGATTCCCATAGCCCTTTTCTCAGTTTTCTTTCCATCCTGATTTTCTTGCTTTTCTTGAGACAAGGTCTTGCTCTGTCACCCAGGCTGGAGTGCAGTGGCCTCATCATAGTTCCCTGCAACCTCGAATTCCTAGGCTCAGCCTCCCAAGTAGCTGGGACTACATGCCACCATGCCTGGCTAATTTTTCTATTTTTTGTAGAGATGGGGTCTCACTCTTGCTCGGGCTGGTCTTGAAGTCCTAGCCTCAAGCAATCCTCCCACCTCGGCCTCCCAGAGTGCTGGGATTACAGGTGTGAGCCACTGAGCCCAGCCCCCCACCCCAATTCTCTGATCTGAATTTCACTGATATCATGTCCACCAATGGCAGATGTTGGCTGCCTCCCACCACCCACCACCCCCAATTGCAAGCATGCATACCTCCTACTAGCTGGCAGAAGGTCCTGGGGTTGGGGGAGGCAACACCCTTCTCAGCCCAGGAGGCAGTCTGGGTTGTCATGTCAACTTACTACAATGACCCTTTTAGGGATGTATGACCCAAGCCTGGCTGAGGAGTCTGCAAGGGCATCCACTGGGAGCTTACGGAAAAGGTGGGTCTTCCCTGGTCAAAGGGACACACAGGGTGAGACACCCTCATCTCTGCTGGATGCCATCTCGTCCACTGATGGGCTCTAGTGAACGTGATAGAGCCTAGGGGGAAACTCGACAACATGCTGAGAATGCTGAATAGAGACAGACGGTGGTGATCCTTGCCACTGCCCTTGGGGCCTTGACCCAACCCTGGGATGCTCCTGTCCCATGTGCTGTTTTGTCATCTCATAAATGCCATATTTAAGGTGCTTTCGGAAGGATCCACTGGCCCTTGTAGCTGAAAGCATCCTCATGGGGACAGAATCTTGTCCCTTCTCCACTAGGTCAAGCCCACATTTTAGGGTCTGTTCCTTTCAGCCCCCAACTCCTGGCACTGGTTTTTCTATTAGTCACAGAAACTGGCTCTTCTTGGACATTTTAACCTAAAAGTAGACTCATTAAAGGACAAAGCGTAGGCCTTAGAACCTCTAGGAGAACCAGAAAGCCAGGCCTGAAGCTTTGGCACCCAGGAACATCACCTAGACACTGCTCCAGACGGATCTGGACAAGACTCTGCAGAGGTGCGGGCATTCACGTGTGGTGACAGGCTGCACCGCAGAACCCACCTGGATGGGCCCTGGGCAGTCCCTGCATCCCATTCCAAGTCTGATTGGCAGAGCCCAGATCCTGGACCTACACTGAGCTGCAGGGGCCCTGGGAAGCCAGCATGGCACCGTGAGCCACTACAGGGGGAGCAAAGCTGTCTCAAGGGGATTCCAATGCCAGGCAGCCCAATGGGGTGGCCACAGCCACAGTTCCCACACGTCTAAAAACTGTCATTACTGAGACAGGCCCCAGCCAGGGCACTGACTATGTCATGGGACAGGGTGGGCAAAGACACCAGGGGACTCACAGATGTCCTTGCAAGTAACTTGCCCTGAGGCCGACTCCAGTTAGAACACGGATGACGCTATTTCCCAGGTGAGGAAGGCTCACAGTGCCTCTGCTCCTGTCCTTGATGCCCAGAGCAGGAAGGCAGACAGTGGCACCCCTCCACCCTGGGCAGACGGCACTAACAGTCTCCACACTCTTCCCAGATGACTGAGATGAAGCTATCCAGGGGCCAGGGTGAGCAAAGTAGCCACCTACATGAGGACAAGAGGGTTCCCCGAGGGCCAAGCCAGGGAGGTAAGCCCAGGGGGAGCGGGCCGGGCCCAGGGATGAGCATGGTGATGAGCATTCACCAGAGACCACATGCTGTGTTCACATTACCTGTCCCAGAAATGCCCGGGCTAGGGAGACTGCCGGCTGGTCAAAAAACTCCAACCCCAGTCGGGTAAGGTGGCCCTTTGGGCTTGAAAAATAGATGCTGCGTTGAGGGCCCGGGATTGCGGGCATTTCCACACAGGGGTCCTTGGGGGAAGGTGTCTGGGCTGCATCTGCTGGGCTCTGCAGCTGCTCTGCCTCTGCCAGTCGCTGTTTTTTTTGACCCATCCTTTGGGAAGGCTGTAATGGGAAAGAAAAAAATTAAGCATCTGAATAGGAGAGGACAGACAGTTTTGTGGTGAGGTCAGGCTCAGGGAGCTCAAGGACTGAATTTGACCACCTGCTTCAGTTTCTTCATCTGCAAAGTGGGGGTGACCACCTTGTGGGCTGTCAGGAGGCACACACAGAACGCCACACCTGACACACTTAGCCTCAGAGGCACGTGTCGATGTGTTACTGCTGGTGGCAGGGTGGCCACTCTGCTGCAAGTGCCCTGCACACGTGTGAGATGCACCGCGTGGGAGCCCAGGGCTGCAGGGTTGGGGAGCCTGAGCCTGGGACAGGAAAACCGATTCCCACTCATGTGGGCCCCAAGTAAACTCTGCACTGGTTTCTGGAACCCTGCCTTTCGTATCCAATCCTGACCATGAATTTAAAAACACATCCAGGACCTCAGCCCGGCCTGGCTCAGAAACAGATTGTGAGTTTCACCTCTTACTGTCCGGCTGACACAGGCTCCCATTGTGCCAGACTCCTCAGAATGCCCAGAAGGCCTGACACACACAGATGGGCGAGCATGGAGCTGACCATCGGCCTGGCCCCATCCGCGGCGCTTGGGGTGACCCCGGGGGGGTCCCCAACTGTCCTCTGCTTCATTGCCCAAGATAGAAAACAATGAGCACGTGGGCAAAGGCAGGTCAGCGGAGGACTGGGAGGGTCTGCCAAGACCCAGCAGGCTGTCCGCAGCCCACCTGCCCCCACACGGCCAGAGGGAACCTGGCCGCACATCCGTAGCTGTTCTGGGGAAGCCAGTCAAGGGCGGGTCTTTGACGGTACCCAAGTCCTCCTGGCATGTGAGAGACCCATTATTTTTAACATAAGTGCCGACGTTCATGGTGAACCGAGACCGCGGGCCGGCCGGCCGGCCGGGAATGGACGCTGACGCGACCGTCTCCGCAGCCCGGCCCGCTCTGCCAACACTCGCGGTGGGCTCGACTCCGGGACGCTGCGGCCCCTGCTCTCACCCCGACTTTGCCTCTTGGCCGGCCCGGGCACTCGGGCTACTCTGGAACCCTGCCCTGACGCCGTCTGCGCGGCGGGACTAGGAGGGCAGCGGCGGGCGTGCATCAGGGCCGGCCGGTCCGCGCGGTGCAGGTTCTCCGCGGGGCGACCGACGAGCGCGTTCGCTTGGGCGCGCACTCACCTGGGACCCCCTGCGCGCCGGCATCCGGCGGCCCGGACCCGAGGGGTCGAGGTCCGACCCCGTAAGGAGCCCAGCCCGTGGCCAACTCCGGAAGCGCCGCCGGGACCGGGGGTGGAGCCGGCGCGTGCGCGGAAGGGACGGAAGCCAGGGGGAGGGGCGGCAGGGCTCCGCCCCACGGGGACGGGGCAGTCCTCGCGGGCCACGCGGGGGGGGCCTCCCTCCCGCCTCCCGCTTCCAGTTCTGGACTAAGGCCGGGGGCTCATGGGGCGCTCGTGGCGGGAGCCGGGCGGAGGTAGCTGGGGGTGGCCCCCCGTGTCCCGGTGCCACTCCCCGTGACCCGCTCTCTGCCCCCACCTGGGTGCCCTGGTCACCCGGCGGCCTCAGAGCCCACTCCACCAGCCGGTGGTCAGACCCCAAGGGGACGGGTCCATCCTGAACCGTGCCTGGGTTCTGGAGGGGCCCCGTCGGGGTGTCGTGCCTCGGGGCAGGGGCGGGCCGCAGGCGTTCGGTGGGGCGCCCTGGGCCTTAGGACCTGCCTTTCTGACCTCCGCGGGCATGTGCGTGGAGACGGCGGTTGGATGGCGGGGTGGGCAGGGAGTCTACGAGGAAGTGGACGCCGGGCCTATGCGGAAGCCGCCACCCCTGGGCCGTGGTCCTCACAGGCCAGTGGGAGGCAGGAAAGAGGGAGCAGCCGGACGGTGTCTGAGTGGAGCCCCCATCCCTCCCGCCCACGCACTGGGCTGGGTGTGCTGGGGCGCGGCTGGCCGCGAAGGCTGAGGCCAGGACTCCGGTTGCGGGGGCCGTGAACTCCGGCCTGGCAGTGCAGCTGCCGACACCTCTGATGCCCCCACGACCCAGCGCCTGCCGCCCACCTTACCTGTAACCTCTCCAGCCAGATTGGTGCCCTCAGGGAGGGGGAGGGGAGTCTGGGGAGCGCAGTGCCTGGCTCAGAGGAAGGAAGGGCCAGGGGAGGAGCCCACTGCTGGCTCCTGTGGCTCTGTGGCAGCCCCTACCCCACTCTGCACTTTAGCTTTATCTGGGTCTCCAGGGACTTCTGCTGTGGCAGCCACCATCCCTCTCCCGCAGCCCACCCTTGCCCTGTAAAGACCCTTGAGGGACTTGTCCTGAGCTGTCTTTGAATTCTGTGACCCTGGCCCAGGAAAGGGGTACCCGAAAGGCCTCAAAGAGCAATTGGGCATTTAGCAGTGTCAGATACTAGTTACTGGGCAGGACAGAGGCACGGGGCCATGTTTCTGGGACCCTCAGGTGAGTGTGAACTTGGTCTTAGGGCAAGGCCAGCAGGGTAGGACCCTGATCTCTAGCTGTGTCTCCTCTTCTGACCAGCTCAGGGACTCAACTCTGGCTGTCCCACCCCATGAGCCCCAGCGGGGACTTCCTGCGGAGGGAGGGGCTGCCAGCTGCCTGCTGGAAGCCACCCAGCTGTGTGGGGCACTGTGTGAGGGGGAATGTGTCATAAATCCATGCTTATGAGGCAGGCCTGGATGTGACCCCACCCTCCTCCTTGTCCCCTGCAGCCATCCCACCCAATGACTCCCTTCCTGTGGAAAGAGCACCCCCATCCTTGCCCCACAATCTAGGAGGGAAACTGAGGCCCCTGCTGGACCCTTGTCTTCCTGATGGGAGCAGGGAGAGAGTGGGTGTTGTTTTGTATTTTGTACTAATATTTATTCTGATTTCACAAGTGGTGCCTGGTCCCTGTAGAAATCGTGGAGACTCCAGAGGCTCCCAGAGAGAGGTGTTTTATCTCTACCTTTCAAATGAGGAAAGACAGACTCATTGGTGGGTGTCCTGGCCCCTGCCAGGAGGAGGAGCTGGGGCCAGTGCCAGCAGCCCACTTCTCCAGATGTTCTGGCCTGCATGGGGTGGGGGGACTTGCGCAATCCCTGCTACCTCCCTCCCCCACTCACTTCCGGGTTTGTGGTCTACTGCCAGCTGGAAGTGGTGGGCTGAGCATTCCCACTGTGGTCTGCAGAGCGAGCCAGCAGGCTGGCCAGGGGCAAGAGAAGGTGATGCCGTGCCAGAGGAAGGGACCTGGGGCCTCCTCTGTCCCCAGTGTGCTCTGCTGCTGGGATGGCAGAGGCTTGTTGGAGGAGGCAAGGATGTCAGTGGAAGATGGAGGTAAGGACACTCTTGATACTTTGAAAGAATTTGAGGCTGAGATCAGTGCTGGGGTGAGCAGCTCTGTGCCCTTGCCCCCCCCCCCCAAAGGCTGTGGAGGGGCTGCAGCTGCCTCCAGCTGTAGGGAGTGAGGCCATCGATCACTGGAGCCTTTATAAGCAAGGCCTTGAGAGATGGTGGCTCCACTGGGCACAGAGGCCAGGGTTCCAGTACTGGCCTCACTGTCCCAGGGTGCCCAGCACACTGGCTCAGTCTCCTCTCTAATGGAGTGGTGGCCCACAGCTATTGAAGCAGGGCTCAAGTGGGCTCCTACATGTTTGCTGTGAGCACCCATCTGGCAGCTTCTCAGTAGGGTGGCTGCTGGCCTCCTGACTGGCCTGTGGGGCCCTCTGTGTCTGGTGGGCCCTGAGAGGGTCAAGCGTTCCTTGGGCAGAGAGGGCAGCTACTAGACAGGCTGAGGGAGGGGTGTGTGGGCTGCACCCTCCCTTCCTGGGGCTGTGCTGGCAGTGCTGCTGGGCCCTGGGCCCAGGCGGTTATGAGACCTCCTTGCCAAGCCCTGGGCCATGGGGAGGGGGCAGTTGCCTCAGAAATAGCCCATGACTTCAGGCCGCTGGCTGGCCTGGCCCACTTCTGCCTCCTCCCCAAATAGCCAGGGGCTGGTCCTGGCCTCATCCCTGCAGCTTTGCTCCCCAGGCAGGGGCAGTTTCTTTTGATCCCCCCACAGACCCTCGAAAGCCCAGGGAATGGTCCCTTGGGGTGATTACTTGTGGTCTGGAAACTGAGCTGAGGATTCCAGGGTAGCTGTTGGGGCCTCCTCTTACTGGTCAGGGCTACTACCCCCTCATGTCCTGGAGTGAGGTCCACAAGCCCTGAGGGTGATCCAGACACACCCATCCTCAGACACCTGCCCACCAGCTCCAGGAGTGCTAGGCAATTGTAGCTGACTTTCTCCAGGGTGGATGAGGGGAGAAGAGAGGTTTCCATGTGGGGGGCTCCTCCATGAGAACATAGGGCAGTAGGGCAGGCGTGAGGCAGAGCACATGTGTGTGCACACATGCCTGTCAGTGTGGACTGGGTGCAGGCCTGAGCACACAGGTGTCAGCCATCCTCTGCTCACACCATCCTTCTGATGCCCTCACTCAGGAGGCCAGGGTGGGCTGAAAGCCTGGGGACTCCTGGACAGACTGGGATGGGGGTTTGCCTGAGGGTGCACTGGGAGCGTGTTCTTGAGAGCAACACCTATGAGGGCCAAGGGAACAGGGTTTGCAGCAGAGGCTGCTGTGGGTCCCACGGAGCTTGGGGACTGCTAGGGCCCTTAGAAGGTATCCTGGATGAGCAGTGGGAAGCCTTTTACCTGTCTCTAGATGCAGACTGCCTTCTCTGTGGAGGGCACATGATTTCGGATGAGGCAGCTGTGCACTGGAGATGACTCCTGGGCAGGGGTGTGTGTCTCAGCTGTGGCCGGTGCTCCTGGCAGCGGGGAATGAGCGTCTGGGTCTTGGAGTGGGTCTGGGTGGTGGTCTACAGCATCCACTGCAGGAGGAGACCTGCTGACAGCAGACCCTAGTTGTGGCATGCTTTGGAGGCAAGCCCTGTCCCTGGCTTCCCAGAGAGGACACCACTGCCAGCCAGTCTGGGCATCCAGGCCGGGCAGGGCTTGCTTATCCCTGGCAGGGGTCAGGAATGCTAGGCATGGAGACTGTCCTGTCTCTGGCTGTGAGCCTGGCATGGGAGGGGCACGTGCAGACTGCAGGAGCCCTGAGCATCGGCACCAGGCAGCCTCCCTCTTACCTCATGTCCCTGATGCACCAGCGGTGTCATCCCCCCAATGAAGGAGCTCCTCTCTACCCCTCCAAAGCTTTCATTGCCCCCTTCTACTGAAGAATTGTGTTGGTATCACCTGTGTTCATAGAGGACCCACTATGTGCAGCAGACACACTCCCACCTCCCCCACCCCCCTCATGGTATGGACAAGGGTTCAGGCAGAGGATTCTGCCACTTGCCTAGGCTCTGGTACCTACCAGTAAGTGCACCACCACCTTCGGTTCAAATTGTCAGCTTTATTTTCAGTACAGCCAAGGACCAGGCCATTGTCTGCTGTTGGGTACTGGATGCACCTTTGGTAGCAGCAGCTCAGTTCTGAGAGGGCTGGTGCTACCTGGTCCCAGAGGATGTGGTTGAAGCAGTCACACACAGCACAGAGCCTGAGGACATGCTTGTGGACCCTTCAAGGCCCGAGGGGGCACCTAGTGGAAGGGTCCTTAGCAACCTGTAGCAAGAAGGGAGCCCCTGGTACCCACTACCCAGAGGAAGCCTGGGCCCTTCCACCATTCACGGCTCCTGGACAGCCCAGCCTGTAGCCTGCTGTTGGCACCCCCACTCCTTATTCTTTTCTCCAGGTGGGTCAGCCCACCCAGTGTCCAGAGAGAGGAATGCTAGGGAACTCCCCCAGCCATCTCAGCTAAAAGCAGATGGGCCATTTTGTATCCAACTCAGTGCAGGGATGAGCCCCCCAGGGGCGGTGGTTGAGCTCTGAGACAAAGGGAAGAGAACAGAGTGGACACCAGAAACCGTGCTGCCACCTCCGCTCAGTGAGTTCAGGAGGGCTAGGTGCAGCCTGGCTCAGAGCACCTGCTGGGGGAACAGGGGCCTGGGGAAGGGGTAACTGCTCTGCTCCCGACCTGGGTGTGGGTGTGGTCAAGCATATGCATGAACTTCGAGGGTGTACACACATACACCAGTGTGTACAATTGTGTGTGTGCACGTGTGAACGTGTGAGTATATATATACCTATGAACGTGTGTGCGTGAGCTAGGTGTGTGCATGTGAGTCTGTGTGTATAAACAGGTGTGTGAGCAGGTGCATGTGTAAATGCATGCACAAGCGTGTGTGTGATTGTGAGTGATGAGGAGCATGTGCACATGGATGTGATGAAGGAATGTGAGTGCTCACGA